CGATTAAGATAGTGTGTCATTAGCCCTGGCTGTTATGACTCAGTTGATTAGGCACCGTTCCATACTGAAAGGTTGCTGGTTTGATTTCTGGTCAGGGCATATGCCCTAGTCCCTATGTTTCTCCCTCTCCTTTCTTCTCTCTCAAAATTAATTTTTTAAAAATTTAATAGATAGCATGTCATTAGCTCAAGGTAGACAGGCCAAAAGAATACTATAGAGCTTCAAAATGGATGTAAAAATAGATAAAAATTTGATTTATGACAAAAGTGCCATAGTAGAGCCATAGGGAAAGAATATTCTTTTCAATAAATGGAGCTGAAATAATATATAAGAAAGTTGCTGCCTCACACCATTCACAAAAATTAATTCCACATCAATTATAGGTTGAAAGTACAAGGCAAAACAAAGCTAAGAGATATTATGGAAAATCATATATATGATCTTATTGTAGAAAACGATTTCAAAACCTATGCTATCATATTTAAAAAAAGGATTGATAAGTTCCACCGTATTGAGTGTAAAAACCTGTTCATTAAAAGATATTAAGAGAGTGAAAATGCAAGAGACACATGAGGAGATAGTTTAGCTCAGTGGATAGAGAGTCAGCCTACAGGCTAAAAGGGTCCTGTGTTCAATTCCAATCAAGGGCACATGCCCGGGTTGCAGGCTTGATCTCCAGTGTGGGGTGTGGGTGTGATTAATGATTCCCTTTCATAATTGATGTCTCTATTTCTTTCTCCCTCTCCCTTCCTCTCTGATATATGTAAAGAGAAGATAATCACATCAAAGATAACACGTTCAAATGGCTCATATCTACTGTTTCCATAAATCAGCCCTAACCCAACAAATGATAAATAGAAAGTGGGCTAGAGCATTGGATAGGCATTTCTCAGAGAAAAATCCAGTAAGATCAATAAACATGAAAAGGCACTTAAATTCATTTGTAATTGGGAAAATTAAAACTATAAGTTTATTGCAACATACAAGAATAGGTAGAATTTAAAAATGGTCAGTATCAGATGCTGTGAGGATGTGGAACGGCAGCAACCTCTTACTCAGCTGGAAGGAGTATACGTTGATGTAGTCACTTTTGGAACAGTGGCCTAGTGGGCTCATTAGAAGGAGTAAATGTGGTGTCATCATATCATGGACTATTACATAACACTAAAAGTGAACATCCTGGATCTGTACAAAGCAACATGAATGAATGGTACAAATACAATGTTGAATGAAAAGGGCAAGACATAAAATAATACTTACCATTTGATTCCACTTACATAAGCTTCAAAAAGCAATCAAAACAAAATGATCTTTCCTAACAATAAACATGTAAATTGACCGTACCTCTGCTATGCCCACAGCCTAGTGAGTGAGTATGCAAATTAACTCAATAAAGATGACGGTCAATTTGCACACATACCTGGGTCCCAGGAGGTTCTGGGACAGAGGCTTTAGGCATGGGAAGGGGCCGAGCCTGGAATTGGAGGGAAGGGGATAAAAATCAGTGGAAACATATCCTCAGGTGAGGATGAAAAGAAAAATAAAGAAATGTAATATCTTATGAAAGGCACATCTTGAAAATGCCTATAGAAAGTTGTTATTTTTTCATGGTGAAGGGACTGGAGTCCTTGTTGATGAAAATACCATGGCGGCTGCAGTGACTGGCAGTGGCTGCCGTAGCAGGTGATGGGGCTTTCCCCTGATCAGCCCGATCGCCTCCTGCAAAGGAAGGACAGACTGCTCCAACAGGGAGCGGGCCTAAGCCATCAGTAGGACATTCCCTGGTGGCTCCCAGTATGTTAGAAAGGGCAGGCTCGGCTGAGGGACCCCTCCCCAGTGCATGAATTTTGTGCACTGGGCCCCTAGTAATATTTACAGTTACGTGCTTAAGTATAAAGAAGAACAAGGAAATGCTTATAAAAGTCAAAATAATGATCATTTGGAGAAGAAGGAAGCAAGGGTGATTGGGAAGGGACCAGAGTGGGAGGGTTCTGGGGTCCAGGCTATGTCTTATTTCTTCTGTGGGGTTGCATGAGTATTTGCTGAAATCATTGAACTGTACAATTTTGTATACTGTTTTGTGTTTCATATTGTAGAGTTTTTTAACATTTTTAAATGTAGAGAGAATAATGAACAAACAGGTCAGAGGAGACAAATTTCATACAAAAGTTTGTTTTTAAAGAATGTTGATAAGTAACAATTCAGTACAATTAGATTTATCGAAAACTTTTCATTTGGTAGCCATTAAAGCTCAGTAAATAATAAATTACTTCCTTCAGTAACCATTATTTACCAGAGATAAATATAGGCAGTCCTTTCTTTGCATGACAGAGTGGGACAAAAATAAATAAATAAATAAAAAATGACCATATGACCATACAAGCTAAAACCATGCAAAAATTACATTAGTGATCAATGAGGAAAATTACTGTTGTTCCATGGTCTTTAAAAAAAGTTGTCAAAACATTAAAAACTCTCTTCTATGTTGGTAATAAATGTATAGAGAAATAAAAAATAGTAAAACTTTAACTTAGTATAATGTAATATGAAACATTAGAAACAGAATTAAAGTGCTTAATTTGTGGGGGGAAAAAAAACAAAACAAAAAAACTTATCAAGAGTACTTTGAACAGTGCTTTCTTTGCCTTTATAACAGAACAGCTAACAGAGTGAGCATCTTTTCTGTGCCTTGGCAAATTGTCTTACTCCTTTCTACTAAATTTAGACCAGCTTTCAACATTTTGTTCTTTACACTTTCAATGTGGTGAAATACCTGTGAGTTCCTTTTAGTGTGAAGTTGTTTTCTGGCATCACTTCCTCTGGGATGTCTTTTGTCACAACTACTTTCCCTGATTATGTCAATAAGTTTAACTTCACCAGTTCCTTTGACTGCATATCTAGGGTCTCCAACGGAGGCAGGGACAACATTCTTATCATCAGTTACTTCTTCTATTCTACTGACATTCGATTTTAATTTCATTATTTTTAACATTAACATTTTTTGTTTCTTTGCTGTACTTTTATCTTTGTTGGCCATTTCTCTTTCATTTACCCATTTTGTAAAATTTCACATGAATTTATTCCAGCTATATGTCTTGCTGTCTGTCCATAGGCTGGTTTAAAAGCAGATGGAGAATAACCAATCACCAACTACTTTGAAAAAAAAGTGACTTGATTTGGTTGCTGAGTGGTTGGTTGCTGAGTGGAGGAGCTGGGGATTAAGAAATAAAAGAAAGAAAGAGAGCAGGACGCAGAAATAGAACCAAGCTGGGAGCTAGGTGGGACACCATTCTCCTCAGCACATCTATTTTATACCCCCAAATACCAGAAAGTAACACCAAAACTTAGGATCAAAGAAGCTTATTTGCATTCTTAAGTAGGCCAGAGCATTCCTGGAGGTTGACTGGATTTACATATCTAGACCCACCCCTGCAGACACCTGGGCTAATGATATGAAGGCCAAGCTGATTACATGTCTCCCCCTTCTTGGGGAAATATGTATCCCAGATGCAGCTCTGCCAGTTCCTGGGACTCAGCTGACAACAATTTAAAGAAAAGCCCCTGTTCCTTCCCAGACGGCCCTCTACATTGATTGGTCACTGATGATGATGTGCATCTCTTATTAGCATAGCAATGTGTGGACCGAAGTCCTGAAAAATAGTTGTTTTTATGCAGTTACAGTTAATGTACTGTGGTGAGTGAAATTGGATGGGGGACTTGTATGACCATTGAAATGTATGCATATGGGAAGCCTGGGAAGTGAGGACTGACTGAAATTCAAAAAGGTTGAACTCTTTTATTTATTAGTTTGAGGATGTATGGCTACTTAGAATATTTCTTCTCAGCTATTGAACCTGAAAAATTTGTGTCTACATAAGTGGTATCCAAACCTGTAGAGAATTTTTATGAGTTTATTTGAGCTAAACTGATAATTGCCAGGAAGAAAAATCTCAATGGATTGAGAAAACGCTCTAGAGAATGGCAGTTTTGCCGCTTATTTTATACATTACAGTCTAAGGAGGGACACAAGTCTAGGGGTTACATGAAATCGATTGGTGGTAGATTAATTAAGGAAGCAGGAAGAAGCAAAGTGGGGGGACTCTCTGAGATTGGATAGAGTAAAAGGGAGAAACACATACTTCTTATACATTGATGAGTATAGGATAGTTAACAATTAACATTTATAGCACGTAGAGATGTTATTTGGGCAGTGAGGAGTTGTGTGGTCTCTGCTGTGGTAGAGTTTGCCCTAAGGAGTGGAGTTGTGTGGTCTCTGCTATGATGGAGTTTCCCCTGAGGAGTGGAAAAAAGGGGAGTACTCTGACATTCTAAATGTGTTATCTATCGTGAACCCAAAAAGACAAAAGAAAGGCTCAGTTGAGGTAAAGATTGACTTTTGTCAAGGAAGAATCAGGCCTAGGACATGACAACCCACCATGACTCACTTTTAGTTAGAAAGTTTTCATTTCAGGTCATGCTATAGTTACTTTAGATCTCTGTGGTTTGTAGGGCCTGCCATGCAGGCCTCCCTGAGCCCTTTAGGTTTAGTATGTGGGCCTTTTCTTCCACATATGGAAATGGAAATTTGACACTAAGTTTCCAGCTTCTTGAATCCTTTTAGGCACTTATTAGGGAGAAGCTTTCATACCAATTCTGTAGAACTAAATACCCAGTTGTAATAAGTCAACAGTTTTTGGAGTGTAGTCATGATGGTGACTATGAAATCACTGTGAAGTAACTGACTTTGAAAGCAAGGGTTCCGCCCTCCCTCCCCCAATGTTTTATATAATGTTGACATTCTAATAGTTGAAGATAAAAGATTGACAAATGAAGTATGATTCATTTAGTCAGGTGATTCTATTTTCATTGTCTTATACTGGCAGATACTTTATTATTAAATGTAAAAGATAAGGTCTTGCTCTGTGTTGGTTCCAAAGGAATAATGTTCACTTACTGTTTGATTTTTCTACAGGTGAACTGGCACAGAGGTTGAGTTCAACATGCCATTAGTGAAAAGAAATATCGATCCTAGGCACTTGTGCCACACAGCACTGCCTAGAGGCATTAAGAATGAACTAGAATGTGTAACCAATATTTCCTTGGCAAATATAATTAGACAACTAAGTAGCCTAAGTAAGTATTTTTATGTCAATTAAAACTATTACTTCCAAACCAGAATGTTATGCTGTAGCATATTAAGATGTTCTTGTGATTAATGGAGGATGAGGGGGAGATAATAGGTGAGAATACAGTGTTATCCTGGAAAACGCTCATTTTAAGTAACATTAATGAGTTTTAAAATCATTTCTTCTTCTGCGTGTTTCCTTTGGGGAAGGGAAATAAGGACAGAATCTTCAGGAACATAATCACATGATGGATAAGAATTACTGAGATTTATCTATGAAAGGTAGAGCCAGAATTATATTTCTACTTGCTTGTTATTGCTGTTTACTTTTTAGAGGCTTTAACTGTTTTGGGGACATTGGTGTCTCTCTTTACATATATTTTATTAGCCCAGGGAAATATTTTTAATTATCAAATATCTACAAGTGAAAGGTATGGGGTAGTCGCTACTCACTGAATTGAGTTAGTCAAATTTGAGTTGTTTAAAAGATATTAGGATATTAGTCAAGAGTCTGATATGCAGGAATATGTGAAAATAGCAAGTGAACCTGGCCTCTGACAGAAGGCAAGCAGATTGGCCAGCTAATAAAAGGCAGTGGACGGGGCTTGTGGGAGAGGAGGGGATAGGCAGTGTGTTCCCATTATAAGATTACAGAACAGAGCTACTAGGTGAAGGATTTAATTTAGAATAGTGGGAAATTATTTAATACTAGAAAATTGAAAAATAAATCCAGACTGTCTTTTGATTTTTAATAAGACATTTATATTTCATTTTAAAGATAAAAAAGGTATTTTTGGCCTATAAATATTCTCTAAATGGACTTAGATTTATCTTCACAGATCTACCCTCCCACGTAGATTGTCCCTACAGGCAGGATTGGCTCTTCCTTTCTTTTCCTTTTAGCCTTTTTCTTTTATTTTTACAATTGAGTACTTAATACAAGATTAAAAGAGGTGGTTAATCTAATTTGGTTCAAGTGAGAGGGTTTGGACATACACACATGTAGGAAGAGCAACTTAAAAATGCCAAATTTATCAGGAGAGCACCTTTAAACATTGAATTGTTGGATATTTACCTCTGATCACATTAAATTATGTGGCATATGCTTCATTTTTGTTTAGGTAAATATGCTGAAGATATATTTGGAGAATTATTCAATGAAGCACATAGTTTTTCCTTCAGAGTTAACTCATTACAAGAACGTGTGGACCGTTTATCTGTTAGTGTTACACAGCTTGACCCTAAAGAAGAAGAATGTAAGTTTATTTATATATTTTCTTTCACATATACTTTAAGTTAGGTGAGATTAGTGAAATATTTAAGAACAGTATTAAACATGAATTTTTTACAAATCTTTTCTATACATGTTGTAATAATTAGTAGGTTAGCTATAAATGCCATTAGCATGACTTTCCTGGTTTCATTTCTACTTATTTTTTTAAATCTCTTTTTATAAACTAAAAGAAGTCAAGTTTTTGACATAGGAATAACTTATCCAGATTTTTCTCTATCTTTTTAAAAATATATATATTTTATTGATTTTTTTTTTTTTTTTTTTTTACAGAGAGGAAGGGAGAAGGATAGAGAGCTAGAAACATTGATGAGAGAGAAACATAGACCAGCTGCCTCCTGCACACCCCTACTGGGGATGTGCCCACAGCCAATAAGGAGGGAATATGCTAATTGACTGTCACACCCTCAAAGATGGCGGCGCCCAGTCCCCGGGGGCCTGTAGGCATGTGGCACAGCCGGACCCGCCCCACGCCGGTTTGGCTTCTCTGTGCATCTGCCTCCTGAGTCTCCCAGTCCCCTCAGTCCCCAGCTTCCCAGGACCGGCCCGAAGTGCAGGCAAATCTCAAATGGCGGCCGCCCAGCTGCCCAGGGCTGGCTCAAGGTGCAGGCAAGCCTTGGATGGTGACTGCCCAGCCGCCAAGGGCCAGGCCGAGGCTTGCATTGCCGGCAGTGGCAGCAGCAGAGGTGTGATGGGGGTGTCACCTTCCCCTGATCGCCAGGTCGCCTCCTGCCCTTGAGGGCTCCTGGACTGTGAGAGGGGGCAGGTTGGGCAGAGGGACCTCCGTCTCCCTCCAATGCATGAATTTTCATGCACCGGGCCTTTAGTTGTTTATAATTTTCTTTAAAATTATGTGGAACATTGTTTGAATTGAGAATCTAAAAGCTGAACTACTTAATAGAAATTGTTTGGGGGATATTGGATAGAAGGGATTTTCAGGTATTTAACCTACATTTTTTTAACTTAGTTCGAAAAAGATAACATTATGAGTATAATATGAAATTGTAGGGTGTAATATCAATATTTTTTGTTCTTTACCATTAAATACTACTGATAACGAAATAATTCCTTCAGTGTTATTGTTATAAGTTAAATAAATTTAAAAAGGATGATGGGGAAAGGGGGTTATAGAAAAAAAGAAGAAGAGAATGTGTGTTGATGGAGACGGGGGATGACAAGTAGAGAAAAGAAAGAGGAATATAGGGAATATAGGGAATTTGGGGAATATAGATACGCTTTAGATGTCATTAGAGCATTCTGATCCTTAGAAATCAAAAGGTTGCATTAAAACCCATCTGACTGGGGAAATTAGGCACACAATGACATAGGATATAATGGTAGAGCATTCAAAATACGGTTCCTGATTCATAAGCCACTACAGTTACAACCTCCTGAGCCATGCTGACTTTTAAACAAATATAGTATGTGAATGTATTGGTATGTTAAATCATCTTTAAAAAAATAAGCAAAATACATTGTTGATTTATTTTTTAGTGTCTTTGCAAGATATAACAATGAGAAAGGCTTTCCGAAGTTCTACAATTCAAGATCAGCAGCTTTTCGACCGCAAGACTTTGCCTATTCCCTTACAGGAGACATACGATGTTTGTGAGCAGCCTCCACCTCTCAATATACTCACTCCTTATAGGTCAGTCGGCTAATCCATAAGAAGGCTGGTTATTTACCTCAGACTTCAAGTTCAGATAGATAGCACTCTACCTATAAATGCCAAGTCCCCAAACATCTTTTATTTTACTGAGCTATACAGAAATCCTTGTAATCTACCACTTTAGAAAGCCGTTGCTTTATTCACTGAGTTCCCAGAGTTCTGGCATACAAAAGATAAGGCTAGTTCAAGGGAAATGTTTTTATGAGTATTAATAAGAAAAGCCAATGACAAATGTAGTACTATGAAGGGCAAGGAGTTGTTATTATCGTTTAGATTTAATTTCTAATCAGATGGAATATAAAAGAAAACAGAATTCTACCAAAAATGTTATTTTTGCTTGTCTAATCTCTTGATCTATGTGCATTAAATTTACATAATGAGTATGAAGTACAATGTTTTAAAAATGTATTTTAAATAAAATCTAGAATTACTATTTAGCCTTTTTTTTTTTTTTTGAATTCTCCCATGTGATTTGCTAAATAGATAATTTAAGATGCATAACACATATCCTGAATAAAATGTTATTCAGACAGTTATTTGAAACTCTTTGTCAGTATGCAAGGCATTTGGATATAAATAACTGTTTTACTACAAGAATGACTATTAGGTAGTATTTTGGGAGTTTGGTAAGATAATAAGTAAATGAGAGTATTGGCAGAAAATCTGTATAATTTCTCTATTCTAAATGATATGATTGTCCTTTCAGGCTTTTCTCTTTGGCAGAACCATTTCTAATTATTGGAATTTCTCTAAGCACTTTGAGAAAACGGTATTCACTAGAATTTAGGAATGAAAATTGTCCAGCTGTACTTTAAATTATTAACACCAGCTTTGAAAAATATCTAGTTTTCCATTGTTCTTAGTTTCTTATCTGTTCTTAGTTTCTTGACTTGTGAGAAATGTTCTGTTGGTGCAGTATTCTAATTTATTTTGTCGCTATTTTTACATATGCTATATTTTATTCATGTAAGAGAAAAAAACATTTCAGTGAAACTATCTTTATTCTGATTACCTAGGTCTTACTAATACATATTTTAATTGATATTTTATATTTCAGAGATGATGGTAAAGAAGGTTTGAAGTTTTATACCAATCCTTCATATTTCTTTGATTTATGGAAAGAAAAAATGTTGCAAGATACAGAGGATAAGAGGAAGGAAAAGAGGAAGCAGAAGGTATTACAAGAGATTCAAAAAATTGAAGTTAGTTTTCGAGTATTTGTGTTTTATTGCACATATGGAAATTTATTAGTCCTGTACCTTGACAGTTTTCTTTTATTGGGTCCAAGTAATCAACTGAAGTCTTTATCATCACGCAAAAGATCACAATCTGAGCAGAGTAGATCACTATAATTAAATTATACACAGAATTGATTAAGTTATTGTAACATGATGTGGTAAGTGCCATAGCAGAGGTGGGCACAGAAAAGAATTTGATTTAAACAGAGAACAGGGTTAGTAAACACTTCCAACAAAACTTACAGTATATCTCGAACAACAAATAGGAATTAAGTGGGCCAGGGAAGAGAAGGGCATTCTAGTAAGAAGGAACAAAGGAATGTTGTGCAAATATTGGTAAAGTAGAGTAAGTTAATGTTTTTAACCATGGGGCATATCCTAAATGTTTTGAAAAGGTTATTATACTCTCACTAAGTTCCTGTTACCTGTCTACTATGTTTTAATTTTCCATATTCTGATGAAATTCACTTGGATTTGCTTTATTTCATGTTAATGATAACTAGAAATACAGAAGGAGGAGGCAATGCTGAATTTAGGTAAAATTATGAAGGAGGCAAAGCCTATCTTCATCACCCCTTTCTCCTATAACTCTCCTCTCCCCACCCGACCCCCGGTTCCCACAGTGCATTCCTGTCATCTTCTTCACCAGACAGTATTCCAGTGTTCTAGCTAGAGTTTCCAAACTGGTGACTGGCAGCCCAGGTTACACCTGCAAGCAGGTTTTGTTTGACAACCACAGTGATTTAAAAATTTGAAACTGAAATGCCTTAAATAGACATGCCCATCTAGTTTACTGCCTTCCCATCTTATACCCTACTCTCCATTTATGTATGTAATCTGCTTGCCCCTTTGGGCATCTGACTTCGTTGTACCTACTCTAGACCTTTCCTTTTTCCCACAATTTAAATCACTTCTTGTTTTATTTTTCAAATACCCTGTTTTCCATTGAGTGAAAGTTATAATAGAGTAATTGGATAATTGGATTTTTTCTAATCTATTGGGTAACTAATTGGTTACTTCCCAGGTAATATAGCCTTAGTAAATTTTCAGGTTTGGGTTAGAAGTAGACAGTGCCATTAATGGTAGAAATTTCACTCATTATAGCAAAAACTAATAGATGTGGTAGTAGAGTTGGTGAATAATTTTTCATCTGAAAGGACTTTCTGACCTCAAATTTTATTACTTAGGCATACTGTTTTTATCTGATACATCAATTCCAATTAGAGGTTAAAGAAACATGAGGAGAAACTGGATCACAAGCAAACTAGCTAAAATTTAACTCTGAATATACAAATGAACTGTCTCTGTGTTACCTTTACTATATTATGATGACATTGTCTTTTGTACAATAGTATTGATGTTAGGATTTATTTTGATTGTTATAACCCCTTTTTAAAACTTAGCACTTAGCATTTGGCTTTGTTTCAATACATCTGTTATAGCAGAAAAATCTAGATCGTCCTCATGAACCAGAAAAAGTGCCAAGAGCACCTCATGACAGGCGGAGAGAATGGCAGAAGCTGGCCCAAGGTCCAGAGTTGGCTGAAGATGATGCTAATCTTTTACACAAGCATATTGAAGTTGCTAATGGCCCAGCCTCTCATTTTGAAACAAGGTTTCTTTTCTTTTTTTCTAACAAAATTAATGATATGATACTGGCTTTATTTCTAATATCTTTAAGTATTAGATCCTGAACTGCTGAACTCGCAGACCCTGTTGTAAGTATAGGGATGGTTTTGAAACCCTGAGCACTATGAGCCTACTGAAGTCTGATCTTGGCAGATTGTTTTCATACTGGGGCTTTGGTCATTTTTGAAAAAGGTGGTTGAGTAGATGATCTTCAGGGTTGTTTTAGCTTTTGTATGAAGTCTCAACTTCCTCTTAGTTTTTTAGGCAGACTCTGCTAGAATATTATAATAGAGAAATGGAGTCTGGAATAGTTTTTGAACTATTATTGCCTCACTATATATAAAATAGGAATTGAGAAAGGGTTATATTTTGTTCCTTTTTTTTCCTGACATCCTTTCTATGCCTATCTCTCACTCAGATATATCAGGATTTTACAACAAAATCACTCCCTTTTGTAAAAATATGGAATAGGTACTTTTCCTTTCTCTGTGGTTACTATATAAGTAACACCCTACCCTAACAAACATACTAACATCTTTCTGTGAAGAAATTTATTTTTGTATAGTTGATTGATTATAACATTATTACTACATATATATATATATATATATATATAATAGTTATTGATTTTTTAATGCAAAAGAGCTTAAGGTTTTTCTTTTGAATTTTGTAAATTATTGGGCCATAATAAATATTTTGGCCTATTTTAGGAGTAATATACATATAAGACACTTTATATACATTACTAAAAGACATTGAAAGAATTTAGATTTTTAAAAATTAACCTATAGGCAAACATTTATTTCTATTGCTGTTAAGTAATTAAAGTATTTAGCTGACCTAGTAGTGTCAATACGATTATCCTGACTTGCTTTGTGCTTATTTTTTTAAATCCAACTGTCCCCCGTGTGCTCTAGAGTCAGTAAATATGTTTGTTTCCACGTGCTCTGGGTATCTAAATTCTGCTTAAATCTGATTTTAAGACACAAGTTTCTGTGTTACTCAGCGTACTATTTGCTGAGTATACCCTAGCACCTTTGAAAACATCAAAAAGACAAAAATGATGTAGTTAATCATGTCTGGAGTTGGGGTCAAGGAGACCTTTCTCCTTGATACAAGACATTTGGAAGTCATTTAGCTTTAAGAGAGCAACAGAATATCCTGGTGGTAGGAAATTCCAGTTTTTATTTCTTTAATTATTTTTTTTAATTTTTTTATTGCTTTTAGAGAGGAAGGGAGAGGAAGAAAGAGATAGAAACATCAATGATGAGAATCATTGATCAGCTGCCTCCTATACCGCCCCTACTGGGGATCGAGCCCGCAACCTGGACATGTGCCCTTGACCGGAATCAAACCCCGGACCCTTTAGTCCGCAGGCCGACACCCTATCCATTGAACCAAACTGGCTAGAGTGAAAAATTCCAATTTTAATATTCTAATTTTTTGTCATTGGCATCTTATTGTAAAGAAAAAAGATAAGTTGTGGCAGATAGCTTTGAATGCAGTTTGCTACAGATTATTTTTTTGTTTATCAGTTTATATATGTAATTCTTTTTATCCTTCTGAATTGAGTTAGTGTGATATTATAAAAATAATAAAATAACTGGAGGTCATCATAATGAACCTGAATAAGCAAGGAAAAATTGATTTGTGAACAGCATTTTTTGTTTTAAAAGCAGGATGAATGTAATGAATTTCTGGAATAAGGTTCTTAAAGGTAGTTAAAATATTGGCATTCAAAGGATAAACTTTATTTTATGTAGAATACTGTACTCCACCAATAATTCAAGAAAAATATACTGAGATATCTTTATATATATATAATTTTTTTTAGACCTCAAACATACGTGGATCATATGGATGGATCTTACTCACTTGCTGCCTTGCCATTTAGTCAGATGAGTGAGCTTCTAACTAGAGCTGAGGAAAGGGTCCTAGTAAGACCACATGAACCACCTCCACCTCCACCAATGCATGGAGCAGGAGATGCAAAACCCATACCCACCTGTATCAGGTATGTTGGGCATATGTTTCTATCACAGCTGCTAAACTCTGCCATTGTTGCATGAAAGAAGTCATGGACCATCTACATAATTAAATGAATATGTTTGTGTTTCAACAAAACTTTATTTACAAAAACGGAGAGGTGCAGATTGGAATTTTGGGAAGTGACTTTCCAGCCTCTGATAAGAACTGACGCATTGTCTTGGGAAAATATAACTAATGAAAATGTAAAGTTTAAAATGCATTTTATTTTATTATAGCTTTGTTATTAAACACATGATGTGCAGTATAGTGAGCCCTTGAATAGTGTCATTTTTTTTATTTAACATGTCTAATGTTGATTAGCTGCTATGGGAACTTAACTCTTGTTTCTATCAATTAGCTTATGGTAAAATTGGTTTTGTTATATGTTGTTTCATTTAAAGTCATTGAACCTATCAACAATGATAAGGGAGGACTTACTGTATATTAACACAAATAAAAAAATTTTATAATGTGTTAAGGGACTAAAAAAGGAACCAAAGGTGTTAATTATAAATGCTAATTTGATATTAGGGGGAAAATTCTCAGAATTTGAGATAGAATAGGCAGTTGCTCATAGTATTTTCAGTAAAGCTATTTTGAAGTTTAATTTTATCCATTGTTCAAATTATAAATTTTTAAAGAGAAAGAGATTAGCTTTATGGTTTTCAGTTAAAAAAAAAAATCAACCTTCTGTCACTGACTCATTTGATATTTTATCTTCAGGAAGGAAGAGGGCCATATATTTCCTTTTGTGGTTTGTAATTAAGTTGTCACTGATTTAACTGAAATGACATATGATGAGCCTTAATAGCTTCAATATAAATATAGCATTTTACTGGTCACAGGTATTGCTACAAATACTGTAATATAATAAATGTTGAGTCATTACAAAGACTCATATCACAGTGTAAAACTGTAAGCGTAAAATGCTTGTGTGGATATGAAAGTTGCATGAGAGGATGAGATCACTTAGAATTTTACAAACCAAAGTCCCATGTATTAATGTTCTTGTTGGTCCACTTTTAGTTCTTTCATCTTAATACTGCTGAAAATTTTGTAATTCCTATAGGAACATGTTAATACATACATCTATCTCGGTATAATTATTGTCATTTATATTTTGTGTGGTTAATTTTTTCTCTTTTAATAACTTGCTAGGATCTCTTTATCATTTCAGTTCTGCTACAGGTTTGATAGAAAATCGCCCTCAGTCACCAGCTACAGGCAGGACACCTGTGTTTGTGAGCCCCACCCCCCCACCTCCTCCACCACCTCTGCCATCTGCCTTGTCAACTTCTTCATTAAGAGCTTCAATGACTTCAACTCCTCCCCCACCAGTACCTCCCCCACCTCCACCTCCAGCCACTACTTTGCAAGCTCCAGCAGTACCACCACCTCCAGCTCCTCTTCAGATTGCCCCTGGAGTTCTTCACCCAGCTCCTCCTCCGATTGCACCTCCTCTAGTGCAGCCCTCTCCACCGGTAGCTAGAGCTGCCCCAGTATGTGAGACTGTACCAGTTCATCCGCTCCCACAAGGCGAAGTCCAGGGGCTGCCACCACCCCCGCCACCGCCTCCCTTGCCTCCACCTGGCATTCGACCGTCATCACCTGTCACAGTTGCAGCTCTTGCTCATCCTCCCTCTGGGCTACATCCAACTCCATCTGCTGCCCCAGGTCCCCATGTTCCATTAATGCCTCCATCTCCTCCATCACAAGTTGTACCTGCTTCTGAGCCAAAGCGTCATCCATCAACCCTACCTGTAATCAGTGATGCCAGGAGTGTACTTCTGGAAGCAATACGCAAAGGTAATTTTTTCAGGGCCATTAAAGCATTGCTATTGATTGTAGCACTAGAAACTTTCTAAATATTTGAACAATAGTGTTTTTCTCAGTTACAAAATTTTAAATAATCATGTTTTTGCACAAATTGTCTTTAGAAACTAAAGCTATGTTCAATTTTAAATCATTTTCCAGAAAATATATCACATTTAACTATTTTCATACTTAGAAGGGATTCTCATGTTTATTGAATAAATTAGAAATTAAAAGTATCAGACTTAAACATCAAAGAAAATTAGTTAAAACTATTTGCACTATTTTTAATATGAATATTAACTCCTTAAAAAACTGTATTTTCTTCAGCATTAAGGCTGTCAGTGACACTTGCTCTACCAGATGCCATTAAAGGATTAAGTTTCCTCCTTTAGTAACAAAAAAAGACCTGACATTTATTCATGTATTCTGCCAGCATTTCCTAAGCACATACTATATGCCAGAAGCTTACAGAATAGAATGAATAAGAGTGCCTTTTCCTCAAGTACCAGGGAGAATAAAGCCTTAGAAAATATCAACAGTGTTTATTTTTTTTAATTCTAGAGATAACAGAAGAACAGTATCATCTGTTAACTTTTTAGGGTTTGGTGAGCAGGGAGGCACATTATATTATAATGGTTTATTAATACATTGTAGATATCCAGCGGGGTGTCTGGTAAGTTCCACCTACTACAGATAACATAATGGAAAAACTAATGTCTTTCTAAATAGTTTAATGGAAAAACCAATGTCTTTCTAAATAATGTCTTTCTAAATATGATTCCTTCAAGATCTTTTTAATACACATTGCTTTTTATTTTTCTATTAGTATTTCTCATGTGTATTTGATTTTATTCCATAAAGATTAATAATACCTAGTATTTTGGTTTACAATGAATGGTTTGGATTTACTATATCAGGTATTCAGCTGCGAAAAGTCGAAGAGCAGCGTGAACAGGAAGCTAAACATGAACGCATTGAAAACGATGTTGCCACCATCCTGTCCCGCCGCATTGCTGTGGAATACAGTGATTCGGAAGACGATTCGGAATTCGATGAAGTGGATTGGCTGGAGTAAGGAAAATGCATTGATAAATATTACAAAACTGAATGCAAATGTCCTTTGTGGTGCTTGTTCTTTGGAAATGTTTGATCATTCCAGTGTTTTGCTTTTTTCCCCCTTAAAATAAATAACCCCTTTTCTCCATAATTTTTGATTTCTAAGAAAAATATTAGCATACATTTCAACTAAGTGTTTTACAGTGGCTTATCTTTTTTATTTTTCCCTAAAAAGACACAATTTGGTCAAATAAACCACTAAGTATTAAGCATGGGCAGCTGTTGTTTAGAGTAGCAGATTCAGTTTTTTGATATATCTTAATTGTGCACTTTGTGAATTTTAATTTAAAGAAAGCAACTGAGATTGAAATCTTGAGGGCAGCTGTATCTATTAATGAGCCTTATTCCATTTTTTGATGTTTTAAAAGAAGAAACACTGACTTGATTATGTGAATACACTCAGAAAGTACATTTAGCTTGTAGTATTGAATTCTCTTAAAGGAATGCTTGAATTTCTTTAATTATTGTTTTATTGTTTTTAAATACTTGCTTTATTTGAATGTTTAGCAGTACCCCTTCCCACTTATATATTGTGTGGTACGATTTTGCTTGCCTATAAGAGTTTAAAGATTTCCATGTGAAATACTCTGACATAAACATACATGTAACTTACATAACTGTTAAGAATGATTTAATAAATGGTTCATTTTAAAGGTTCATGGGTGTTTCTCTTTGAATAAAATTATTTCTGAAAGTTTATCAAGTAATATAAAGTAGGCTCTTAATGCATAGATAGCCAACAAAGATTTAAAAATCCACTTATTGTCGCACACCCCCCCCTCCCCCGGGTTGGCTCAGTTGTTTGGAGTGTCATCCCATACACTAAAAGTTGAGGGTTTGATCTCCAGTCAGGGCACATGCTGGATTACAGACTTGATCCCTAGTAGGGAGCTTACAGGAGGCAGCCTATCAATGATTCTCTCTCATTGATGTTTCTATTTCTCTCTCTCCCTCTCCCTTCCTCTCTCTGAAATCAATAAAAACATGTTTAAAATATCTTAATGGCTCTAATAAAAAGCTTTGCTTTGCACTCTTAGTAGCTTTGCCTAGAACAGCAGATTGCATAGCCATTTAAGGTTTCTTTTCAACCTTACAAAACTATATAATGTTGAATTTAACTGTTGAAAATATGGCACAGTTTAAAGTTTGTACTTACATGGTCAAAAGGCATAGCAAATAGTTTTTATACAGCTCAATTATAACTAGGTAACTAAAACATAATGGTACTGGTGTTGGAGCATTTAAGGGTGATAAAAAGGAAATGGTTGAAGATTTCTTAATAATAGAAGTATATCTGTTGTAAAGCCTAGATGTATCCTAAATAGTTTATGATCTCTTTCTTTCTTTCTTTCTTTCTTTCTTTCTTTCTTTCTTTCTTTCTTTCTTTCTTTCTTTCTTTCTTTTTCTTTCTTTCTTTCTTTCTTTCTTTCTTTCTTTCTTTCTTTCTTCCTTTCCTTCCTTTCCTTCCTTTCCTTCCTTTCCTTCCTTTCCTTCCTTTCCTTCCTTTCCTTCCTTTCCTTCCTTTCCTTCCTTTCCTTCCTTTCCTTCCTTTCCTTCCTTTCCTTCCTTTCCTTCCTTTCCTTCCTTTCCTTCCTTTCCTTCCTTTCCTTCCTTTCCTTCCTTTCCTTCCTTTCCTTCCCTTCCTTCCCTTCCTTCCCTTCCTTCCCTTCCTTCCCTTCCTTCCCTTCCTTCCCTTCCTTCCCTTCCTTCCCTTCCTTCCCTTCCTTCCCTTCCTTCCCTTCCTTCCCTTCCTTCCCTTCCTTCCCTTCCCTTCCTTCCCTTCCTTCCCTTCCTTCCCTTCCTTCCCTTCCTTCCCTTCCTTCCCTTCCTTCCCTTCCTTCCCTTCCTTCCCTTCCTTCCCTTCCTTCCCTTCCTTCCCTTCCTTCCTGCCTTCCTTCCTGCCTTCCTTCCTGCCTTCCTTCCTTCCTTCCTTCCTTCCTTCCTTCCTTCCTTCCTTCCTTCCTTCCTTCCTCATTCCTGGAAGATAAAGTATCCACAGACTGAAGAGTCCATACGTGTAATATTGACTTTAAAATCAAAATATCCTTCAGTCTAGATATTCAGATTAACTTGCTGAGATAGTTTTGGAACATATCATTCAATGGTCAATTTTAATATCCTAGGAGGGATGAAAGTTACTGGGTAATGATTACCTTTTTCTTTAAAAAAAAAAAAAAAATATTTTATTTGCCGAAACCGGTTTGGCTCAGTGGTAGAGCGTCGGTCTGCGGATTGAAAAGTCCCAGGTTCGATTCCGGTCAGGGGCATGTATGTTAGTTGTGGGCACATCCCCTTTAGGGGGTGTGCAAGAGGCAGCTGGTCGATATTTCTCTCTCATCGACGTTTCTAGCTCTTTATCTCTCTCCTTTCCTCTCTGTAAAAAATTAATAAAATATATTTAAATATATATATATTTATATATATATTTTATTGGCTTTTTTTAGGAAAAGCACCTTTAAGAAAGCTCTACCCTTTCTTCAACAATCATCTCACATCAATTTTTTCATGAAGTCTTCTCAGATAACCACAACAGGAATTCTAATTCCTTTTCATTTTCTCTAATTCTTTTATTACAAGCTTTCTTCAAGTGATACTTAATACCATTTTGTATCACAGTTATTACCTATTGGAGCTTGCCACATAGGTGACTCTCAAGACAGCAAGGCCTTGTCTAAAATAGGCAACTCACAATCTCTCTTCATGTACTGTATTTTCTGGCTTATAAGACGACCCCCTAATTTTACAGTTAAAACATAGGTTTAGGCCTATATTCGCTGTATAAGACTACCCCCCTCTTCAAAGAAAAGACTTACTTTGCCGTCAAGATCTGCAGGTAATTTTTGTGCAATTTTGGTCTTTTGCCCCCAATTTTCGGTTGGCTTTTTTTCGTTTCAAAAGTCGTCTTATACGCCGGAAAATAGGTAAATAGGTGCAGAAATACCCCTTTTTATGCTGTCTACAAGGGTTCTTAAAATCATATTTTCCTAGACACTGTTCCTGTTTAAAAAAATTTGTTTAGCACTAATCACAGTACCAAGAATGACCTAAAATCAGTCCTGATTTTATCGAAACTGTGTTGTGTGTGTGTGTGTGTGTGTGTGTGTGTGTGTGTGTGTGCGCGCATGTGTGTGTGCAATTTAAGAAATGGAAAGATAGAATTGACTTCTGGCCAAAAGGTTGAAGTTATTAATATTTCTGAAGACATTTTTTTAGGGCAGAGAGCAAAATTAATCAAGTATTTTAGTAGGAATTCTAATGAATTACTTTCAAAACAGCTTTATCTTTGTCCTTAGTAAACATACAACTGCTGTTTCCTTGTTTATTTTCACTCTGCTACATTTATCTTGACCCCAGCTTTTTTTTAAAACTACCTCCTTAAACTGGAGGAGGCATAAAGTAAATTATTTAAAGCTCCTAAATAGTTCAGGAGATTTCTTTTGGATTTCCCAATCCCTATATCATCCACATGATAAAAAATGCAAATAAATCATTGCAGGATATTAATCATGCAGTATCAGGATTTAAGGATCATGTTGCTGTGTTTAATGAATGTGAAATTATCGTGGCTCTAAGTTGTGTCCTATAACTGTAATTAATAGAAATCATCCTATTGAAGCCAAACAGAAGGCATTGGAACCTTGTAATACAAAGAGTGAGTCTTCTCCTCCCTTTATTCATTGCTGTACTAAGAACACATTTATTTATGTTCTCCATGACTTGGCTGTAGGATGCATCAGTAGTCTGTTGCTTTTCAAGCCTGACAACCAGGCTCTGAATAAAGAATGAATACCACCCTTGAATGAACATTTCAGGCACTTTTTTTTCCTACAGGCTAGTTATCAATACCTTTTTCTTACTATTGTAAGGCCAGCTGCTCTGACTTTTTTCCTTTAAAAAAATATTTAAACACAACTGAGCATGTATTAAAGTCATCTTAGGATATTTATAGTTTCTCTTCCCTATAATAGATAAAAACTTTAGTGGTAATATTTTATCATATCTATGTAAGTATGAATTATACTCAAAGACTTCTTGATAAATTTATCCATCCTGCCTTTAGGTAATTAGCTTTTCCAGTATTGCTACTATTTTGATACAGGACATTGATGTCTCCAGGAATAATAAAATTTTTCATCTACTTTTCTGACATGGAAACAATCTAAAAGACACAAGAGCCATCAAATCACAATCTATCTTCTATTGTAACATCTTCAAATATTACTTAAAAGTATTTCATTCTTATCTATGAAAGCTGTGAAATGTTACACCTCTGACTTTAAAGAAAATCTGTAAGAACTATTTATCTAGATCATTCCAGGTAAAGGAGTAAATCAATTATGCATGGTTTGTTTTTATATTTCTTTTTGTGTATTTTATATCTCCTTTTATTTAACAAAAATTTTTGATGCCTGCAGAGTTACTCTGCTGACTATGGAAGCCACAACTGTGAATAGACAGAGCCCTGCTTCTGAGCATACAGAGAGATTGACAAAGAACAATGAATATTATGTCAGCAAGCTTCCCAGCAGAGAGACCAAACCTAGTTTAGGAAGTCAGGAAAGGCTTCCAAGAGGAAATGGCATTTAAAGACTGAGGTGGGCCTCAGCAGGAAAACGTCAAAGGGAGGGTGGACAGTCTCCCAGGCAAAGGAAATAAGTGTGCGGATGTCTGGAAATGCTTGGTGCAAAGCATGCAAGGAGTGAAGTAATGAGGAATAAATTAGAAAGGTGGGCCAGGAACAAATCATGAGAGGGTCTTAGGAACCATAGTAAGGAGTTTATACTCCATTCCATGGGCAATACAACTGAGGAAGTAAACATAGCATTTTGGTAAGATGATAGACAGGTACAAGTGCTAAATGAATGAGAAGTAAACTTGGAGGCCAAGAGACCAGTCAGGCTGTTATAGTAGGTGACATAATTGGGGATGGTGGCGACAGAGAAGATAGGTTACAAGATA